TGATGACCAGGTCTTATAAGGTTGCCGATGCGACAGACAGCATGTCCCTGACTGTATGGGGTGGGGAAGTACTTAATGTTGCAAAATGGTACACCCTCACTAATGTGTCAGTGCGGAAAAGCCGAAATTCGAACCAGTGACCCAGCGACCTTCTTGCTGTGAGGCGACAGCACTACCTACTGCGCCACTGCCTCGCCTACTCTACAATTATATTTTTTATTCTGGCAAGAATAATAGCAAAAGAAACTTTTAATTATTTTGCCCAATCAACAATTGACAAATTATTGTCTGGCTAGTTTTTGTCCTCTACCTTTGAGCTGAAAATGCAATAATGGTCCAACAAACCTGTCCATTATCACTAATAAAACCTAGAAATTGGGCATCAGTATACTGTAAGCCGACAGGTTCATATTTTCTTTTCCAGTTATCAAAGACTTAATTTGTTACTTAATTTTTGTTACATTGTTTTAACTTCAAAAATATACATCAGTGTAAAACCTACAAATGGTGGAAAAACATATTCTGTAGTAATAAAACCACCTGGGTCTCCACTTTTGCCATGGCCTTTTTTTTGTTGTAACAAACTTATCCCCTAGGTTTTTCCAAACTTTTTAACAAAACACTTCCTTTCCACGGCTGTTACTATTTCTAGCCAAGAATTATTGGTCATCTGGTTATCTCTATGGTGATCATGCATGGTCGGATCGTTAAGATGCCTGTACAGTCGTACTGTTTCAGACAAAATCCCTTCAAAGTGACTCCTATTCAACTCAAATCAAACGCGGCGCCGCATGAACTCTTCACCCAAAATCATGTCACGCGCTTCCAAAGTGAACCTCCGCAAACACGGCAATGACGTCACATATACCGCGCACACTGAGCTATGGCATGCTGGTCTTATTTGTACTTTTAATACCGCAAATTACATTAGGACTAGTGAAATAAAGAACTACACCACCACGAAACCAAGTGTTACGTCCCTTCCCCTTTTTGGTCTAGGGTTGGGGAAGGAAAATAACAAAGAAAATTAAAATTTAGAATTTGAGAAAAAAGGAGACCAAATTAATGAATTGTGTATAAATTAAATAAACAAATATTGAGGGAACACTTCAATCCTGCCTCAGAAATGTGAAACAACCACAAGAGTAAACTTATTTTATTATTTGGTTCTTAAACAATAAATGAAGCATAAATCTTCAGGAGAAGGATTAACCAAAACAACAAACAAAACAGGTCTAGCTCAGGAGGAGTACTAAATAACCTAATTTCAGGTAAAAGAAAAGAAACAACACAGGCTTTCCTCAACTCCCTTACTATCAATAAACACAGTCAAACAATTACAAAAATAAAAATGGCACCCTCTCCCTACAGCTTAAATTTTAATATCAAAAAGTCAGACAAAGAAACAATACAATTACCTTTTACGTACCACACACAAAAGAATATATGTATTTAAATAACAACTAAGAAAACAGACACACTGCCTGTAAAATTCCACAATGCAAAAACAAACAAGTTTCTTAACACACAGAAACTAAAATTTAACTCACTAGCCCATTAAACTCCTTTTTACAACCAACCAGATCAACACCCACAACGTATGATCACAACAATCACGAGTCTGGAGCACTGCTTTTGTAGCAGCGCATTACTGCAGCACGCTCCAATGATGAGCACCACCTGGGCCCAATCAGCTCTACCTAGTGAGCAGGCAGAGAGACACAGTGAAAGTAAAAGAGAAAACACACAACATAACCACTCCCAATGGGCAGTAAACACACAAACAAACATCAATAATAATAAATACATCCAAGGGATGTAACACCAAGCAACAACAAAAAATTATTTAAATGAGCAGGAGTAGCATTACATGGACATCGGAAAAATAAGACCTGTGCAAGCATATTTAAGACCTAGAACAGCGAATTTAAGACTTTAAGGCCTAAAATTTAAATGTTTATATTTTAGACCTTTTAAGACCCCACGGAAACCCTGTGTAAGCCAGATGGCATAGCAGAGGGCAGGTTTCATTCACTTATTGTATGCGCTTTTTGGATATGCAAATAAAAACGGTTGATGGAAATGCTATAATGCGAATATTTTTCGAAAATGTGTGTGAATGTACAAAACAGCAGGCTAAGCACATTGTAAAACATCTAAAGTGTTGTTTTGGTCATTCTAAACCGCCTCAACCATTTCAGTATTGTTATAATATTAATATTTTAATGACCTCCAAAATTGTCAAGAGTGTTTGCACTCCATGTCTCGCGCCTTCAAACACCAGCGCGCGTTCACAGCGTGTCAGGATTGCCTTCTGAGGCGCAAGTCATTTATTAAATGAAGATAATATAGTCCCGTAGCTGCTCCCACCGATGCATATTCTGTTTTTACTTTTGATGTTTGTCGCCAGTTAATCAGAAGGTGGCAATTTTGTTCTCTTTGACTTGTTGGATGGAAACGCTGCTTTATTTGCATAGTCTTTTATGCGATATTCTAGTTTTGGGCATACATTTAATTAGCATTTAAGATGATAACATAGCTATTCACACTGCATCAGCACAGCTGTCCCCTTTCTTCCCCATGTACCTGTAGGTGAACAGCTCCTCCGGGTGTGGCCATGGGCATTCATCCTCTGCTTTTTCTTCCTCATTTCTTCTGTCTTAAATCTCCATATGTCAATTGATAACTTCGTGACTGTATGATGATGACGGTCAGCTCACGTAAATCTGCAGTAGCTTGAACTTGTTTTTCGGTTTAAGTAATTTACCAGGCTTTTCATTGGTCCATTAAGATGAACTTTTTTTATTGCCTACCGAAATGCTGGTCAGTGCATGCTTGAAATATTAATTTATTTACAGTACTCTGTAACGAATTGTGATTTTAAAAGTGACGAAGTAGATTACTCGGCTTAATTTGTACTCATCTACAAGTAAAATTACAGGCTTAAAATTCTACCCATGGAAGTACAATTACCCCAAAAATGTACTTAATTACAGTAACGTGAGTAGTTGTAATTCGTTACTCCCACCACTGCTGTTTACTGCTGAGTGTGACATGGTAGGGAAAGAAACAGCACCTCTAAGTCAGAGACCATGGTGCTCGACTGGAAATGCTTGATCTCCAGTTTGAAGGAAAGTCCTTAGCTCAAATGTAGCTCAAGCATCTGCGTTTTTTTCATGAGGAATGGAATGTGAGATTAAAAGATGGATCAGTGCAGTGGCAGCAGTAATGCAGTTGATGTGATTGTCTGTTGTGGTGAACGAGCTGAGATGAAAGGCAATTTTTTCAATTTACCGCTCAATCAAGGTTCCTACTCTCACCTATGGTCATGACTTTTCGAAAGGACAAGATCTTAAATACAACCGGACACATTTCACAAAGTGTTATGACCTGCTTGTTTGAGTCGCAACATAAAAGAGAGATGAGCCAACAAAATAGCCTGAATGCAAAATATTTATTATAAAATGTAACTCATAAAACAATCAATCAAAGCAACCAGCAAATGTCTAGGGATAATAATGAAGATAAAGAACTTAGGATATAATCACAACAACACTTTAGCTACATGATACAAGCAATGCAAAACAAAACCATAAGGTTAAAGATTTAATGAGATGGCAGGTCTTGACATGAAGACTCCTGAGTAGCCACAGCATCCTGGATTAGCTAGCAGCCTAGCACAACAACTTTTATATACCCATTGATGAGTAATGCAGGCATCCAATCAGGATTTACCACATACTCCAATCTGGAGTCTTGGGATCATCACAGTGTAGTAATATTGTACAACTTAATACCTGTCACTCTGCCTAAATCATCAAATATTCATAATTCATCTTTATTTATTTGTCTTTCCAGTGATGCTACTCATTCAGGGAGTCAGACAGAGAACATCATCCAAAACAACACTAGCTACATGAATACACTGGAGAGTGGAGTACAGATGTATCCGCACCTGTACAATCACTTGCAAAGAGAGATTTTAAGCTGCTGAGATGCTGTTTGTCAGATGTTTACGAAACATCTGCCATCATTGTGTTCAAGGTAAACGCGAGGAGCGCAACACATTTACAACCCCACCTACTGCAGTGTAGGAGTGTTGGAAAACAATATATCGTCACTCAGCCTTTTCAAACATTATTCAGACATAAAACATCCTGTGCACATGAGAAAATGTTTTGCTGCATTCATGTCATGTGTGCAACTTTTGTCCAATTCTGTAGACACTGATCAGATCTGTACGGTTTCTCTCCAGTGTGAATCCTCTTTTGTGTTTTCAGATGTGTTACTGATTAAACCTCTTGTCACAGTGTGAACACTTGTACGGTCTCTCCAGTGTGAAACGTCTGGTGCAGTTTCAATTTTGAAATAAAAGTCTTCTTACACTCAAAGCACATATACTCTTTCACACCAGTGTGGATCTTTATGTGTTCATTAAGGTTTGCTAATCGGTTGAAACTCTTCCCACACTGAGTGCATTTAATGGTTTATCTCTAGTGTGGGTCTTCATGTGTTTATTAAGGTCTGAGGAGTTGCTGAAACTCATCCCACACCGAAGCTGCAGTCACACTAGAGTTTGAGCATGCAAAATTCTGTTGTTTGGCGCTGTGAAAAGCGGCGGGATTAAACAAGATGATTAGACAGAAAAAAAGTTAGCTATTGGTCCATATTTTACATTTCTGTCCAGACAGGTCATGTTTTGATCTTTGATTGGTCTCACACAGTCAAGTGATGCGATTTTGCAGGTCAGAGTTCACCAAGCTTGAACTTTGCAATGCAGTGAACTGCGAAACTTGACACACAAACTTGGTTTCCGGTCTGACACATTCCCGTGCGTATGAATGGAAATCCATGGGGAAAAAAGTCCATTGTGACCGCTGCTTAAGTGCAAGTTTCTCTCCAGTGTGGCTCATAATGTGTAGATTAAGGGATGATGATCGGTAGAAACTCTTCCCACACTGAGTGCATGTGAATGGGTTCTCTCCGGTATGAATCATCATGTGTTCATTAAGGTGTGATGATCGGCTGAAACTCTTTCCACACTGAGTGCATGTGAATGGTTTCTGTCCAGTGTGGATCCTCATGTGTCGATTTAAGTTTGATGATTGGCTAAAACTCTTCCCACACTGAGTGCATGTGTATGGTTTTTCTCCAGTGTGGATCCTCCTGTGAATCTTAATTTCCCTTTTTCTTCCAAAACTCTTCCCACACTGAGGGCATGTGAATAGTTTCTCTCCAGTGTGGATCATCATGTGAATCTTAAGATAGCCTTTACTTCCATAACTCTTTCCACACTGAGTGCAGGTGAAACTATTTTTGTGTCTCCCCTTTTCAAAATACCATCAGTCTGTAAATGAGTTTTTTCCTCAATTTTGACATGATGTTCCTCCTCTTTACTGCCCTCATTCTCTTCAATTAGGTCTGAAATAAATAAAACATTAGTTTTCATTAAGTCTTAAAAACTCTCATCAAATGCTGAAAAGTGAAAAGACACTGGAAACATTGGCTACACACACTGCAATTTTGTTGCACAGTAAATGTAAAATAAATCAGATCATAGTTTGTTTGGTCCATTAACATGTACACATTTAAGCAGATTGAATTCAATTCATCTTTATTTATCTAGTGCTTTTACAATGTAAATTGTGTCAAAGCCGCTTAACATAGAAGTTATAGTAAATTGAAACCGTGTCAGTCCAGTTTTCAGACTTTCTTACATAATTGATCATAAAAGTAATTTTGGTCATATTAGTAAGACAGATTTGAAAGCTGTAAATTGAATTTTTATTTGTATATATTCATAATTACAATAAAATGTTTTTCTAAAATGTGTAAAGCAGACAGGGAACAGGGCCGGAGTGGGACTCCTTTTTAGCTCTGGAATTTCAAGCCTTAGACCGGCCCACCTCAGTCGACGACTGACTATATTAATAATAATATGCGAATGATCTTCTTTTTCTGTCGATTCCAGATACATGTATTCCAAAAGCTCTTACAATAATTTCAGAATTTGGAAATGCTTCTGGATACAAAGTCAATCTAGCAAAGAGTTTCCTTTTCCCTATCAATGATAGAGCACAGCAAATGTCCTTCCAATCCTTTCCATTTTCATTTTATCAAAGTCCTGATAAATTTGTATAGTGACGCGCAAATATAAGGATTCGTTCAATAATAATTTTAAAATGACATTAGTGCTCAAGGACGTTTTTAGTGCTCAAGGACACCTTAACAAACAGTAGGAGAACAAAAAAAGCAACAACCCTAAGAAGGTAGAGAAAATGGGAGACTAATAATACATAAAATAATGACAAAAGACCTGAGAACAAGTAACAAAAGAAACTCGTTCCTGTCTTTCAATAAGTGCCTATGTGCATTTAAGAGAACTAGGCAGCACACTCAGGGCTGCAAGATGGATTTAATTTAGTATTCTTATTATTAAAATATATCTGAATGAAGATCAAATGACTGAGTTGGTTTTGAGAATGAAAATAAACCTGTTTGTTCCTGCAGATCTTCCTGTTTGACTGTGAATGTTTCTTCAATCTTCACATCTTCACTCTCCTCTTTAATAAACGCCATCTTTATGTAACAGTGTGGAGATCAGTCGCTTCAGCAGGAGCTTTTCTCTGTGTTTGGACACTTTATTCTGTTTAAAATGAACAAAACTATGAACAGAAACAAAATAACTTCTCTTCAACACTTGCTTCAACAGTTTCTTTATATGAGAGTGATTGACAAAAATAAATCAGGTAAGTCTGAGCAAGAAACAATATCCACAAACAAATGACCTAATAAAAACTAGTTCTCCATTTATTATATATATATATATATATATATATATATATATATATATATATAGAATATTGTATACTTATATTAGAATAACATTATACTTGTAAATAAATAAAACCTTCATTAAAACACATTTCTGTTGTTTAAACAATAGCCCTCGATTACTGTGATTAAAATAGTACTTCGTTGTATAAAGAATTAAAATAATAGTCAACAGCAGGTATGTCATATTGGAAGAAAAACCTGAAACTTTAATCAATCGGTTTATATGTGTAAAGTTGTGAAACAAACCTTCCTCCAGTTGAACTGCAGCGCGGAAGCGGCGCAGCCTAATGACGTCACACACCACGCCAAAATAAAAGTCTTTTTTGTTCAGTTTTTTTTTTTTGGCCACTTACTGTTGCAATCGACATCGCAAGGCATATTTAACATTAAAATATATAAAATAAATTTAATTTGTTACAACTGCAACAAAAGATCTACATCAAAGAAAAACAAAACATTATGACAATAAGTGTTTTAAAAATAAAGTACAGAGAGCTTCAGTTATTGCTTCAGTTATTATAGAGCTTCATGGGAGATTAAAACAATTACTTTGAATTAACCTAAACAAAGCCATAGGTATAGCCTCGCAAATTTCAGTATAACCTTTATCTGTGATTTTAACTCTATATTTATTTAAAAATCCATTATGACAAATCATTAATAAATATAATGCCTTTGTTGTACCTGTCACCTCTAAACAATGATTTCCTGTTAATAATAACAGCCCTTTTATTCCAAAGAGTGGATTTATGAGGGAAAAATTATGGGTAAATATCACTTTCCAAAAAAGTAGTTCTTGCTAATGAAAATTAGACAGCTTCAAAGGAAGTTTTGAACAATCATAATCACATCTTAATACAAATTCAAGGCCACCATTTTTTTAAACTAATTATTTGGGATATGATACAATAAACACTCTTTCAATCATTTAACTCTAAAAGTGCCATGAAAATCGATTGCTTTCAAACCTCCATATTCATACTCTTTGACCACATGATTCTTACGTAAATAATGTGATTTATTTTTCCAAATAAATTAAAATAATATTGAATTTAAAGATTTAACTATTTTGAGAGAAGTATGTAAAGGATAAGTTAAATATATAATTTTAAATAATCCCAGTCAAAAGAATTGTACCCAATATGGAAAGGTCTCTAGCTAGCCAATGATTTAAGGATTTTTTCATCCCTTCCATTTTAATATTAACATTTGCACATTCTCTATTAACAGAATTTTTGGTGATGGTAACTCCCAAGTATTCAACTTCTTCTTTTACTAGAATACCCTCCTATTCTCTTAAAGTACAATTCTGAATAGTTAATATTTATAAAATATTAATATTTTCTTAGGTTTAAGGTCAATTCAGAAGTTTTAGGAAACAGAAATTTTGACAAGAGCTAAAGGGAGCACCTCCCTATTCTTAAGAATTAATAGAGTGTCATCAGCAAACTGACTTAAACTAAAAGTCCGACCAAGTATATCAATACCTAAAGTGTACTCTGAATTTTTTAAATATAATGACATAAGTTCAACAGCTATATTAAAAAGAAAAGGTGAGATGGGACATCCTTGATGGATTCCTCTTTTGATGTAAACTCCAGGAGATGATCCTGAATTCAGAGATTTACTACTGAATATATCAGTATAGAACATGGAAATTACCCTACAAAAGCTCGGACCGAACCCAAAAGTTTCTAAAGATTTTCTAAAGACAAAAAAGAATGCTCAAGGGTATCAAATGACTTGAAAAAGTCTAGAAATAGAAATAAACTTGTCTGAGGAATTAAATACCTATAATCGAGCATATCAAGTATCAGTCTGATATCATTGTGAATACTTCTCCCTTTAATGAAAGCTGATTGTGTTTCATTAATTATCTCGCCTATACCTTTTTTTGAGTCTATTGGCAAATACATGAGAGAGCAATTTAAAATCATTGGACAAAAGAGTTATGGGTCTCAATTATTTAAAAATAATTTGTCTTTGCTTGGCTTTGGAACTAAATGATTAAACCCTGCTTCATAGAAGTCGATAGTTCTCTTTCTCTATACATTCCTTAAGTGCTTCAAAAACTAAAAATCCCATCTCTGGCCAAAAATGTTTATAAATCTCAACTGTGATTTCGTCTGTACCTGGGGATTTTCCATTGGATATTTTAGAAATAGTAAGTCAAGTTCAGAGATAACAATGTCAGATTCCATCATTTCTCGGAAGCTGTTATCTATAATAGGAACTTTATCTTTTAAAAAGGAAAAGAAAAAGTCACAATCACTCTCATTAAATTTTGACTTACATAATAATATGAATAGATGTGATCATCAATCAAAGTTTTCTCTTCACTTACATTGTTATTTATACTAAGTTTATTAATAGTTTTTGAAGATTGTCTATGTTTTACTAAATTAAAAAAATATATATATATGAAGAATTTTTCTCCCCCTCCTCTATCCATTTCACTCTAGATACACTGTTAAAAATTGTCCCGTTAAAAAACAATAAAATACTGGCAGCTGCAGTTGCCACCAATGTACTGTTATTTTACAGTATGTTGCTGTAAAAATACATGGACTACATTGATATACACAATACTCAAGGGAACTCATTTTGCTCACTGAAAGCAACTGCCTCAACTTGGTCAACTGCTGAATGAGTTTATGAAGTAATGTGCTATACATGCTTAGAAGCATACTTATAATGATAACTTATTTTAGTTAATTAGAAAAGTTCAGTTTAACTCTAATGTCTTATTTTTCACAACAGCACACATACATGTAAATCTGGAATCACCAGAGAGATTCTGACTGCATCAGCAACTAAACAGCCGCTATCTTTAAATAGAGAAACATACAGAATAACATCAGCAGTTCATTGTTCATCTTTAACTCATACACTGGCTCTACTCTCCTCCACAACGGTGACAGACAGAAGAAATTAGCTTCAGGTTTTACAGTAAAATACTGTTTTTTCCTTGATTTAACGGTAATCTACTGGCAGCTGTGGTTGCCAGCAATCTACTGTTTTTTACAGTCTATTTCCGTAGTGTAAATTAACATTATATTACTGTTAAAATACATTTTTACACTGTGTTTTTACCTCTCACACATTTAACCCTTTAAACCCCAGAGCATATACTTCAGTTTTAATTGAAGTGTCCACACTACTGAGTGTTCAAGAAACATGTAGCAAAGCTGAAGTAAATTCATTAATTAACTGACTAATTAAATGATAATTGAGGATTAACAATGAACAAATGAAGAAA